ATGATTTTCCTACATATGACAACTCGTTTGGGTACAAGAACAAAGGGAAAAAAGCATGTTCCATTTGTATTGATGATACACCAAGCATACACCTTGATAATTGTCACAAATAGGTGTACGTGTGGACCCGAAGGTTGCTCAGGCGCGATCACCCATACTGTAGGCAAAAAAAGGCTTTCGATGGGATAAAGGAAGAGGGGACTGCGCCTAGGCCATTGGATGGTGAGGAGGTTTATACTCGAGTTAAGGGTATACGAACGGTGTTTGGAAAAACAGAAAAATCTGCGAACTCAACTGCTCTCTTTGAAAAACCATCAATCTTTTGGAAGCTTCCACACTAGAAAGAACACGATGTTAGGCATTGTCTTGATGTGATGCATATAGGGAAGAATGTGTGTGATGTTCTTGTGGGAACACTGATGAATATTCAAGGAAAAAACAAAGGATGGAAAGGGTGCACAATTTGATTTGAAAAAGATGGGGGTTCTTCTAGAATTGTGGGCTCAAGAAAGGGTTAGAAAAGGAAAGAAAAAGGAAAATGAAATTGTTGCGAAAAAAGGAAAGGGGAAGAGCAAGGGAAAAGGAAAGGCCACAGATGCATCAAAGAAGAAAGATGAGGGAAAAGGCAAGGATGAAAAGGCTTATTTACCTCCGGCTTGCTACACATTTTCAAGGGTATAGAAACATATGTTTTGTGCATGTCTGTACGACATTAAGGTTCCATCAGGGTAAGCATTTAACATGATAAGATTTGTATCCTTAAATGGAGAATTGAATTTGACAAGTATGAAATCCCATGATTGTCACATTATGATGCAAGTATACCTACCGATTGCAATACGTGGTATTTTATCGAAGCAAGTGAGGGAAGCTATTACAAGCCTTTGTTCGTTTTTCAATACAATATGCAGCAAAGTGCTTGATCCTAGTGCACTTGATGCTCTAAAGGCGGATGTGGTTGTGACTTTGTGCAAATTTGAGATGTATTTCCCACCCTCATTTTTTGACATAATGGTGCAACTGATTCTTCATTTGGTTTGTGAGATTAAGTTGTGCGGTCCAGTGTTAAATAGGTGGTGCTATCCTTTTGAAAGACACATGGGTACATTGCAAAATAAAGTAAGGAATCCAACTCACTCGAAAGAAAGTGTGATTCATGGGACTATAGGTGAGGAGATTGGTAATTTTGTGGCCGAGTATATATAGCCAATGCTGAACCTATATATCTTCCTACTTCTCGACATGGAGGGTGACTTGATGGTCATGAACGAATCTCACCTGACCGAGATAAGTTTTTAAATTCTTATTTGGTTATATTGGGATGAAAATGCGTCCTAAAACTTAGTAAAATTCTCCTTTCACGTGATTTCAAGCCTTATCCACCTAAAACAACATAATATTAACATGTTATGAAAAAGAATAAGTTCATTTGATAAGAAATGTAGAAAATAGGCAAAGTAGAAGTCATATAGGCCGTATTTGGGTCATTTTGGATGAAAATGCGTCCTAAAACTTAGTAAAATGATCCTTTCATGTGATTTCAATCCTAATCCACTTAAGAATATGTAACATTGACATGTTATGAGAAATAATGAGTTCATTTGATAAGAAATGTAGAAAATAGGCAAGGTAGAAGTCATAAAGGCCTTATTTTGTTGAATTTGGATGAAAATGCGTCCTAAAACTTAGTAAAATGTTGTTTTCATGTGATCTCAAGCCTTAGCCACCTAATATGTAATATTGACATGTTATGAGAAATAATGAGTTCATTTGATAAGAAATGTAGAAAATAAGAACAGTAGAAGTCATAAAAGCCTTATTTGGTTGAATTAGGTTGAAAATGCGTCCTAAAACTTAGTAAAATGCTCCCTTCATATGATTTCAAGCCTTAGCTACCAAAAACTATTTAATACTGACATGTTATGAGAAAGAATGAGTTTATTTTATAAGAAATTCAGAAAATAAACAAAGTAGAAATATTGACCTTATTTGGTTAAATATGGATTAAAATGCATCCTAACACTTAGTAAAATGCTCCTTTCATGTGATTTCAATACTTAGCCACCTAAAAATAAGTAATATTGACATGTTATGAGAAAGAACGAGTTCATTTGATAAGAAATGTAGAAAATAGGCAAGGTAGAAGCCATAAAGGCCTTATTTGGTTTAATTGGGATGAAAATGCGTCCTAAAACTTAGTAAAATGATCCTTTCATGTGATTTCAAGCCTTATCCACATAAGACTATGTAACATTGACATGTTATAAAAATAATGAGTTCATTTGATAAGAAATGTAGAAAATAGGCAAGGTAGAAATCATAAAGGCCTTATTTTGTTGAATTTGGATGAAAATGCGTCCTAGAAATTAGTATAATGTTGTTTTGTGTGATTTCAAGCCTCAGCCACCTAATATGTAATATTGACATATTATGATAAAGAATGAGTTCATTTGATAAGAAATGTAGAAAATAGGCAACGTAGAAATCATAAAAGCCTTATTTGGTTGAATTAAGATGAAAATGCGTCCTAAAACTTAGTAAAATGCTTCATTCATGTGATTTCAAGCCTTAGCTACTTAAAACTATTTAATATTGACATGTTATGAGAAAGAATAAGTTTATAATATAAGAAATTCATAAAATAGGCAAAGTAGAAATATAGACCTTATTTGGTTAAATACGGATGAAAATGCATCCTAAAACTTAGTAAAATGCTCCTTTCATGTGATTTCAAGATTTAGCCACCTAAACTTAAGTAATATTGACATGTTATGAGAAAGAATGAGTTCATTTGATAAGAAATGTAGAAAATAGGCAAAGTAGAAGCCATAAAGGCCTTATTTGGTTGAATTGGGATGAAAATGCGTCCTAAAACTTAGTAAAAAACTTATTTCATGTGATTTCAAGCCTTCTCAACCTAAAACTATGTAACATTGACATGTTATGATTAATAATGAGTTCATGTGATTAAAAATGTAGAAAATAGGCAAAGTAGAAGTCATAAAGGCCTTATTTGGTTAAATTTTGATGAAAATGCGTCCTAAAATTTAATAAAATGTTGTTTTCATGTGATTTCAAGCCTTAGACACCTAAAAATATGTAATATTGACATGTTGTTAGAAATAATGAGTTCATTTGATAAGAAATGTTAAAAATAGGCAAAGTAGAAGTCATAAAGGCCTTATTTGGTTGAATTGGAATGAAAATGCATCCTAAAACTTAGTAAAATGCTCCTTTCATGTGATTTCAAGCCTTAGCTACCTAAAATTATGTAATATTGACATGTTATGAGAAAGAATGAGTTCATTTGATAAGAAAAGTAAAAAATAGGCAAAGTAGAAGTCATAAAGGCCTTTTTTGGTTGAATATGGATGAAAATGCGTCCTAAAACTTAGTAAAATGCTCCTTTCATGTGATTTCAAGTCTTAGCCATCTTAAAATATGTAATATTGACATGTTATGAGAAAGAATGAGCTCATTTGATAAGAAATTCATAAAATAGGCAAAGTTGAAGGTATAAAGACCTTATTTGGTTGAATTTGGGTGAAAATGCGTCCTAAAACTTAATAAAATGCTCCTTTCATGTGATTTCAAGCCTTAAACACCTAAAACTATGTAATATTGACATTTTATGAGAAAGAATGAGTTCCTTGGATTAAAAATATAGAAAATAGGCAAAGTAATAATTATATAGGCCTTATTTGGGCCATTTTTGCCCAAGTGAAGATGTAACTGCCTTAATTTGACTCCTAGTTGCTTGTTTATAGTTATCAATAATGTAAACATGGTATATAAGCTTAGTATAAGTCATTGGATTGAAATTTGACCCAATATTTCGTGCGGAAACAAACTGTACGTACCCTCCAATAAATAATATATATCCTCCAACAAACTGTACGTATCCTCTATCAAATAACACATATCCCCCAACAAATTGTACATATCTTCTATAAAATAATACATATCCTACATATCCTCTAACAAACTATACATATCCTCTATCAAATAACACATATCATCCACCAAATACTACATATCATATATACTACCAAATAACGCGTATCCTCGAAAAAACTGTACGTATCTTCTATCAAGATAAATTGTACATATCCTCTATCAATTATCATATATCCTTCAACAACTAATGTTATATCTTCCAACAAACTGTACGTATCCTCTATCAAATAACACATATCCTCCAACAAGTTATACATATGCATATCCTCTATCAAATAATACGTATCCTCCACCAAATATTACATATCATATATACTTGTTGCACCCAATACCTTCTCTATTCTAAATAATAGCTTGGATACACCCAACATCCCATACATTGACTAACAATTAACACACCACCAATTATAAATTATTGAGCTACAATGCGTGCCATTAATTACCCTTTAATTACCAGAAATGTCTAAGTTTGAGTAACAAAAAATATTCATTAATGACACGTGTTACACCTCAATTCAATCAATAGTTGGTGGTGTGCCAACTATTAATTAAACTATAGTTAGGGTGTGCCAATCACAAAATTGATTTCCAAATTATAGTTGTTCTAACTTTTCAAAACAATATACTGTATCTATTTTATTTAATTTTCTCAAAATATCTATTTCTTATGAATTGTAATTAAAGGATTTTGTTTGTAAAACATAAAATTATTCTTTTTGTTATAATTAATAAGTACTAATAACCGACGAAAAGATAGCCGTTAAGACACCATGAAAGACCCGTGAAAAAAGGATAATCCATTGATAAAAATCCCTCATTGTTAATGCTAAAAAAAATTACAAAGAAATGCTTCTTTGAAAGAAAGCGAATATAAATAAATGCGCCCACCTTTTTGTCACTGAACTTTGCTAAACCTCTACTCAACTTCTAGACCCCGAATGTATGCCCCCTTTTTTATAAAAAAAGATAACTTGAAAGCAACCACCTTTGGACCCCACTATTTTTTTCTACAAATTTCCAATTGCAACCGATAATTTGACTAATAATCATCAATACCACCTTGTTAGCCATTGCCAATATTGTTACAATAATGAGTTATAATATTACAACAAAACTAAGGGTCCCTTTGTACCCCAATGAAAAAAGTCCGAAACTTTGTGCGTTTTACAATACTTTTCCCCTTTCTTTTGTGGGAAAAAAATTAAGTTTGACCTTAGAGACACATTATTTGTGTATACACTTATAATTAATCAAATGAAACAATATCACTTAGCGTCATCAAATTAAAACTAAAACCCTATAATAATTTTACAACAATGACAAAATTCTCACCCATATGGATGTGTTACCCAAATTATATCTTACAGGGGTGGGTTGTTGCAGCGCATGAAACAAACACGTCGGTGCATAGACGTGTTATCTTTTAGACTAGATCATCACCACCACTACCACCTTCGGCGGTTCCACCACCCGGTAGGAATAAGTTGCGGTCCGAAGAAGAGGATGAAGTGGAGATAGTAAGCATAGCATTGCAATCAGAAACACTATCTTGCAAGTTCAAAAGAAGCTGAGATGTACTAAAGCTCATAGAAGGTTTAGTTCTAGGGACAATTGGCACCTCTGCCTCACCAACCAACATTTGTACCACACTTCTCATTGTAGGCCTAGCCAATGGATCAGGGTGAGAACATGCCAACCCAACAAGCAAAACTCTCCTCATTTCTCCTTCATCAAACTCTTCATTCAACCTTTCATCAACTGCCTCTAACAACCTCCCTGCTGTATGCAATCCCCACACCCATTCTACCAAATTCCCATGCCCTTTGGTCCCATTCTTTTCTTTCTCTATCGGTCTCCGGCCAGTCGCTACCTCAAGAGTCACCGCCCCATAGCTAAACACATCGGTTTTATCCGTGGCTCGTCCTGTTAGAAGATACTCCGGGGCTAAATACCCCATTGTACCCGCTGCCACGGTTGCATCCGGGGACTTATCATGCTCCATTTGCCTAGCTAACCCGAAATCACTCAATTTCGCATTGAAAGCTTCATCTAACATTATATTACTCGTTTTGACATCTCTATGTACAACCAAATTCTCACATTCTTGATGTAAATAGGCCAAAGCTGAGGCCACCCCAAGTAAAATTTTCCTTCTATGTGGCCAACATAATACCACTCTTGACTCAAACAATGCCTTATCTAAGCTCCCATTAGGCATTAAATCATACACTAACAATATTTCTTCCTTCTCGTGACACCAACCTTGAAGTCTAACTAAATTCCTGTGCCTAAGTGACCCAATTATTGACAATTCTGATAAGAACTCGTTCTTCCCTTGCCCTCCATTGTTATTGCTACATCTTTTAACTGCGATGACATGCCCTGTTTCCGGCAATATCCCTTTATACACCGTCCCAAAGGCGCCATGTCCGATTACCCGACTTGAATCGAACCCTTTAGTGGCGATTTTCAGCTCTTTGTAGCTGAATTCCTTAGGCATTTTAATGACATCCGTTGCTAAAGAACAGGATGTTGAATTCCTAGGTAATTTCACCTTCGATTTCTTTGAGAAAAACCAGAATAAAGTCCCTCCAAACAAAGCTAACATAAAAGCACTTGCTGTCACAACCCCAGCAACTGCAGCTGGGTTACGCTTACAAAGCTGGTTGCCACAAGAGCTTTTATTAGTTGACACAATCGATTTCGAATGCGATGGCGGAATTGCCGGCGGAGGAGCGTGTACAGCCACCGTTGTGGTCCCACTCGGCGGCCGCTGAACAGTGAAAGGAGGAGACGGCTGAGGGTCCGATGACGTCGATGACGACTCGAAAGAGGAGGTGAAACTCCACCAGTCAATACTGTGAGTCTCAGTGCTCCCCTGAGTTGACCCAGTGAAACCCACAAACATTTCATCACTCACAAAATTATCCAAATCAAAGCTAAACGAAAGGAGTGGTAATTTGGGTTTAACATTTGAATATGAAATTGAAATACTAAAAATCTGAGTTAATCCAGAATAGTCGATCCAAGTATTAATTAGATCACCACTCTTTAAATCCACATTAATTGTATCTAAATCACTTACATGAGCTGAAACCATTGAACCAAGATCCAAACCCACATGATTACTATTAATGTCCTTAAATTCAACATCCATTAATGTATCAAACTCAACCGCAACGAACCCCGGGTTCGAACCCTGGTTAAGCCCAAGAAAACCTCCTGCCGCTCCGTTCGAGTCGTTGTCCGGGGATATAATGAAGGCGAGTCCACCACCAATGGAGCTAGGATTAAGGTTTGAAATGGCGAAAGAAAAGAAAGTAGTAAAACTCACCGGAAAATTAGTTCCGGCTTGCCGAAACTTCACCGGACGGGAGTAAAACACCCTCCCGGCGCCAGAGTTTGGGACGGGGAGGTCACGGGTGAGGCGAACGCTCCCATTGTTTAAATGAGCGTCGCCGAGGAGTTTTAAGCTGGTGAGGGTTAACGTTCCGAAGTCAAACTCCGTGGTATCGCCGCCATTAGTGGTGCTCACACCGGTGGAAACATGGATAGATAGCACCATAATGATGAATGTGATGAAAATGAAGTTGAGGTGGTGATGAGTTAACATTGGAAATTATTATGAGATCATTAGCGAAATTAAAAATAATAATTGGTAAATATTGTGAGAGATAGATTGAAAGATTGATAATGTACTTGTTGTTAAGACAAAGGAGAGAGAGAGAGAGAGAGAGAGAGTGGAGTGAGGTTAAATAGTGTGGAAATAAATGGGCAGATGGCAGAAAATGGGGGTTGGAGAGAAAGGAAGAAACAAGTAAGAGTAAAGAATGAGAATGGGGGGTGTGATTGTGATACTGTTTTTGTTTAGAATCCAAAGATAGGTTGAGGATGACAGGTGGGGATCAGTCGAATTACACGTTCACATTTCCAACGGTTATTTTTGCTAATAGTTGGTTCGCAGACCCAGATGTATCATACGCATTATATGCCCAAATCAAAACTAATTTAAATAAAAGCGGAAAGAAAATAACTTATATGGAGTAATTGTAATGAACATTACAAATTTATAAAAGAACACAGCATTGAAAGATAAAAAATGTGATAATTTTTGTGAAACAGATTTTTAAAAAGTAAAAGATAGTTACCAATTGATTTTTACCATGCGTTTAATGTCAAATCATTTCAAAATATTCAGTTTTCTATAATTAATCTCTCTAAAATTATTTTTGATCAAGATTTCATTTTCAGATTCCAATATTTTTTATTTCGTTCGTTTTCTTTTTTTTTTAAAAAAAAAAATCTCTAAATATACATATATATATATATATATATATATATATATATATATATATATATATATATATATATATATATATATATATATATACACATATATACACACACACACACATATATATATACATATATACACACACACATATATATATATATATGTATATTTAGAGATTTATTTATTTATTATGGTGTTCATTATATAATTTATTATGATGTTCATTATATTTATTATGGTGTTCATTATATTTATTATTTATATTCTTTCTTCATGTCAAAAAAAATATTTATATTCTTTCTATATGTCCGTTATTATATCAAATTTCCGGATAAATTATTTTTAAATGTTCATGTTCTTTGGTTGTAATTTTAATTTACCTTTATTGTCACCCAATATTCATTACTTATTGTGAAATGACATGTATGGTAAATATAAATAATGTTCTTTAAATATTATTATCATGTTCTTTATTAATATAAGAATGTTCTTTAGATCTAAAAATCAATTACAATAGAGAAGGTCCCAAAAGAATATCTTCTTCATCAACCTTTATGATCTTGTTTTCAAAAAATATAAATATATACACAAATAGATGATAATTTTTTTGAAGAATATATGCAATTAGATGAACAAATAGTTTGTAACGTAAAGAACATATAATTTAGACCCAAAGTACATAGTTTGTGACGTAAAGAACATATAGTTTAGACCTAAAGAACATATTATTAAATTCAACGAACGTATTCGTTCTAATTAAAAAAATGAATATGGATAAAAAAAAACTGATAAAAGAACACTTATACCAATCCGAAAGAACTTCATCTTCAACCTCCGAAATAACACAAATTCAAATAAAAAAAATTAAAACTAAAATATTAAAAAGTTACATTTTTTTTCAATAACGAATTCATTAACAATGATCAATGAACAAATATAATATTGTAAAAACATCATCAACAACAACAAAATTATGAAATTTAAATTGTAAAAAATAATTAAAAACTACCTTCACATTCTGTGACAAAAACCTAAAATTAAATATAATTGTAAAAAGCATCATTCTCTTTATCATCAACTGCAAATTGACAATCATAAATCGCGACGAAATTCACCATGAGCCGTCATTTTTTCTCTAAAAAATTCATCTCACTTATTTATTTATTATTTTTTCTCCAAAAATTATCATTTTTCAAAATTTGATTATGAACAATTATGGATAAGGGAAGCTAAAAATATGGAAAGGAAATAACAAAAATTCTTCAATCAAGTAGCGTAAATTTAGAAGATGACATATTTTTTTTTTAATTTAAATGACAATTTTCATCCAGGTGTACCATGAGTATAGTACACCCTGCTGTACAATGTAAATTTCGTATTTTTGGCGTTGTTCATTCATAGACAAAATTCCCCCAACTCTCTTTACTCCTCAAAGTTACCTTCTTTTTTTCTTTCCATTTTTTTTTTGAGCCATCTCTTTTAAATTAACCAGTCACATGATTTGGAGTTTATTACTCCCTCCATCTTTTTATTGTTGTCCCATAGGTGCAAGTTTATTTTACTCCCTCCGTCAATTAAGGTGAAGAATGTGAAGTAATTAAAGTATATGGGAAAGTGAAATTCTCAACCAATAAAGTAATAAAAGTGAATGGGAAAAGGACACTTTCAATTAAAAAAGTAAGACAACATTTAGTGTGAGTCCGGACTCACGGTGAATCCAATATGTCTAACAATAATATTCTAATGTATGACAATGATATTCTAATACCTAACAATACTATTCTAATACCAAACAAAAATAATCTAATACCTGACAATAATATTCTAATACCAAATAATATTAGTCTAATACCTGACAATAACAATCTAATACTAAACAATATTAGTCTAATACTTGACAATAACAATCTAATACTAAACAATAATAATCTAATACCAAACAATAATAATCTAATACCTCACATTAGTATTTTTGGGGCTTATTCATTTTCACGGCTCTCTTCATCTCTCTTTTGATTACTTATTCTCCATAATTTCATTCAATTCAACCTTTTAATTTCTGCAACAATGGAGGTCGAGGCTTCTAATTTCATTCAATTCAAAACCCGTCGTCATCGCTCTCATCGTTGAGCTCGATAAGCTTCGCGCTCCTCTTACCATCGCCTGTTGGGTTTTGCGGTGTCCGACATCACGCAGAAACAAAACCCGATAACCAGATCGCATGCATAATAATTACAACGTATATAAAAGCATGCAAATAAACATAAACATAATAGAAGAGAAAGAAGAGGGAGAAAGACTACTCACCCTAGTAGCGTGCTTCGCTCAACCGTTGAGCTCGGACTTGAAAGATTCAAGTTCCGCAAGTGCGAGAACCTCCAACGGATCACACCCTCGCTACCGAACCGTAACCGGTCCCTACCCCAAAGCTTAGTCGGGGCTACACCAAAAATAACTTAGAGTTTATGAACAAAGGTTTTCTTGCTTTTGGAGATCCCTTAGAGTTCACCAATTCAAGTGAAATTCCCAATACCCAATGATGGGTATTTATAGGGAAATCTCCCCAAGAATTCCCATCATCTTTCAATGTGGGATAGTTGGTAAAAAGAAAAAATAATATTAAATTTAAATCAAAATTAAATTAAAAAGCCAAAACAATTATCAAACCACAAGTGGCGCAAGGAGAGCAAAGGAGTAGATGAGGACCACAAGGGGAGGACCACCTTCCCCTTGCTCCCCAAGCTACCCCTTCACAAAACCAAGTGCAATAGGGTGGCGCCAAGTGGCAGCCCGCCTTGAGCACCAAGGCAGCCATGCTGGCGCCTGGTCTCTCGGCTGGGCCAGCCAGCTAGGACTTCCCTCAGCAAGGCGGGCTTAATTCACGCAACAGCGCCCAAGCACATGCTCGCTGATTTTCTCGTCTCGTTGACTCATAAATCGAGTCTAGGATTTTCACGCACGTTGACTTGTTGTTTGACTGATTTTCTCGTCTCGTTGACTCATAAATTCGACTCCACTTTCGACGCTCTAAACTCGGTATCCGACGTCTTAATTCGTAAAATCTCTATTGACTCATTTAATCTTTCGGATTAATTCGTCACTTCGGTTCGCTAACACGATTGGGTGTGACCTGAAGGGTTCAGTTAAGATTAAGCTGTAATATTAATTATTCATTAATATTACTGATCGGAAGCGGCCTCTAGCTAGGCATTCTGATCACTTAACTTCACTGAATAATTAGCTTTCTAATTAATTCCGAACCCTCTATCGGAATAATATACTTGTTCAAAGGACACCATTCCTTTCAATCTCACACTTGTCCTTCCAGACAAGTGTGCTGATTGTGCAATTGGTGTATAGCCCATTTCCTATGTCGTTTAATGTCTCTTCATGAACTATAAGGTAAGATTCATCGTCATCTTTATTACGTCCAGAAGTGTTTCTCAATTTCCGAGTTCGACTGTCAATAAGTAGATGATTTCTAAAATCTATCTGAACATGGCCATGCATTTTCACAGTCTCGCTCTTCGAAAGGCCTTGTAAATAACAAAGACAAGTTCCCTATTGTTAATAGGGGGACATTCCTTGTCTTGCATTGTCAACTTCCCCTACTAAGAGGCCCTAGCCGCCCGAGTGTTGCCTTTATAATTCCCTTCTAGCATACGTTTCAAAATCAAAGCGGACTTGTACTCAAACAAGAGAACTTGCAATGCTCATGGTCGAGGAAAGTGGTTCCGATAGCCATAATGAGTAATATACTTATGACGATTGTTAAATCTCTTAAATTATTTGAAAGGAATGGTGTCCTTCCAACAAGTGTATTCTTCCGATAGAGGGTTCATAATTATTACGGAGCTAATTCTTCAGTAAGGTCAAGTGATCGGAATGCCTAGGTGGAGGCCGCTTCCGATCAGTAATATCAATGTATAATTGACGTTACATCTTAATCTTAATTGAACCCTTCGGGTCGAACCCAATCGAATCACCAATCCGAGACGACGAATTAATCCAAAAGGATTTAATGAGTCAGCAAAGTTTTACGAATACAGACGTAGGATATCGAGCCTAGGGCGTCGAGACCGAGCGTCACAAAATTACAAAGCGACAAGTATAAATGTAGCCGTAGCACCACAATGGTCTAACCATGTGGATGCTAGGCTAGTTCAAGCTAGCATGCTAGGTGTGCTAGGCGCACCATCGCAGCCTAGGTGCACCATCGCAGCCTAGGCGTGCGCATGGCAGCCTATCGCAAAGCACCACAAGCCCAGGCATCCCATCGCAGCTAGCAGCGTGCTAGCCTGGGTGCGCATGGCAGGCTATCGCAGCACCCTAGCACCACGCACAGCACCATCGCAGTGCTAGGCACATGCGTGTGTGCGTGTGCGTGTGCACCGTCGCCCAGCAGCACGGAACTGTGTGCTTGTGTGCGTGCCTTCGCATGGCAGCACCAACCACAGTGAGCTAGCAAGCAGCACTGGCCTTGCGTGTGTAGGCACCATCGCAGGCCACGCACCAAGCACAACGCACCTATGTGTGTGCGTGCCTCGCACCAAGCATAGCAGTGCTAGGCACTGGCTGATGCGTGTGCGAGCGTTGCGTGGTGCGTGATGCGTGGCGCGCTGCGTGTTGCGTAGCACGATGTGAAGGAAGGGGCGAGCA